GGGGAGATAAAAGAAAAGATGAGGAAGGGGAGTGCTCTATTTACACTAGAGTTTTATAGACAACCGTCCCATTCCACCCCAGCTCCAACCCTGGCCCAGAAAGTGAGGGGCGGCAGGTCTAAGGGACAGAGATTAAGTGTCTAGGGACCCAGACAGCCTCCCACCCCCAACTGTAATGGGTCCATGTTCAAGTCCACAAGGGGGGAAGGAAAGGTTAAGGTTGGAACGTGAGCCATTCATTCCCAAACCAGCCTCCCTTGGGAATTCCTGCCTTGAAGTGGGACAATAATCCAAGCTCCAGGGGATAGGCTGAGGACCCTGAGGCTCAGTTCCCAAGTCACGTTGTCATTTGGAAGTCCCAGCCTGGCGACGGCGGTGTCAGGGCTCTCCAGATTTGGGAGGCCCCCCTAACCGCCGGGCCTCTGGCCGCAGTTCCTTGCATTTCTGGCAGTAAAAGAAGTCAGGGACATTGGTCTTCTTGATCTTAGCACAGGAGAGGTGGATCCAGGTCCCACACAGGCTGCACTCAATCATGGGCCGCCCTGCAAAGGGCTTTCGGCAGTAACATGTGATCAGGTCCCATGAGTCATCACCTGGGGAAAGAAGGTTTGGTTGGTGTTCTGCCTGAGCGCTTGGGTCCACAACAGCCCAAGCCCATCCTCCAGCTAACCCTGGGCAGCCCCAGACCTCTCACCTGATTCTACCATGATGTCCTCATCCATGACCCGCATCTCGCCTTCACTCGAGCTGGCGTCTCCATCTTGGCTCGTTTCAGTGCTGCCCACTTCCTTGCTCTCGCTGTCAGTGGGAGGGGCTCCTTCAGGGTGCACTGCGGCAGGGGGCCTAGGAGCCTCAGGGGGTGTGGGCAGCACAGGGGCTGGGGCTTCACCCCCTACCGTGGCTGCCATGTCTTCCTCCTCCTCCTCTTCCTCCTCTTCCTCCTCCTCTTCAGAGTCTGTATCACTGGGGGGTGCCCGGGGAGGCCCAGGAGGTGGGAGTCTATCCCCCCGATCTGCCTTTTTCAACTTCCGTTTCTTGCTCTTTTTAATTCGAGACCTCTTTTCCCCATCCCCAGGAGCTGGCCGAGGCCTCCGAAGCACCCCAAAGCCAGCCCCCCCTCCTGGCCCCAACTTTCGGTTCTTTCGGTCCTTCTTTCGAGGAGGTTGGGAGAGGTCCCCCTGGGAAAGGGGTACTGGGGTGAGAGCAGCAGGGGGCCGGGAGGCATGGGTCAGGGATGTGGGGGACAGTGGAGATGCCATTTTGGGCCCATCTAGATCAAAGAGAGAGTCCTTGAGCTTCATCTTCTCAAGCAGGGTTGCACTGTCAGGGGCCTGCAGACGAGAAAAAGTGGACCTCGGGGGTCCTGGCTGAGTGGGACCTGCTTGAGCCGCCCTTCTTTTGGATGATTTTGCTTTCTTAACAAAGGTCTGGATGGTTCGGAGGTCTGAGGGGGCTGAGTCCCAGCCGTCACTGTCAGCCGCGCTCTCGCCACGCAATGGAGAGCTGGAGCCAGAGGCTGGCCAGTCACTTTCCTTGAAAGGGGACAGACCAGGGTCAGCAGGCGGCCCGGTGGCATCCCAGCCCCTCTACGAACCCAGCTTGAAAACCAGGGACAAGATCTACCCGGATATATCCTGCCCAGACCACCCAAAAATCACTACACTCAGAACTGTCCCCTCCCCGATTCCCCTCAGCATATGCTCTTGCAAACTTCCCTGTTGCCCCTGCCCGCAGGTTCTGGCCATCTCCCCAATCCTGCCTGCCTCACAGCACTGTCTCCCCCAGACCAGAACCCTATTTCTTTATGTCTGTTTTCCTCCAGTGCATTGAGAAGCACCTTCCATGAACACCCCCAGGCCATTCACTGCTGCTCAAGCCACCCCAAGGGACTAGTGTTCCCACCAGTTTCCAATTTCCCTGCTCTTCCCCATCACATCTGATAGGTTTCTCCTATAAAGTACTGCAGTCCCCTTTGCTCCACACCCCTCTACGGCCTAGGACCCCACCCTCAAGCTGGCCGTCCTCCAGACCCTACCTCTTTGCTAGGGGGGATGTAACCAGCATAAGCCAAGACAAAACTGCAGAATTTGTTGAAATCCTCAATTGTTCTCCGACGCTTCTCTGGTGGCTGAAAGGAAACATGTATCACAAGAAATTGAAGAGGGGCATTCCCGAAGGTATAGTCCCTCGAGTGAGGAATCTAGAAAAGGCCTGAGGAGGAGAGAGGGGAGGGGGAGGGCATCCGGCAATAATACTAGGCTGCAAAGGTAAGGAAAAGCTCACCTGAGTTTCTGGCTTCAGGGTCGGAGGTGGATCTGTGAAAGCAATAAAAGCTGAGTCAAGGCACCAGCAAAGAATCGGTGCGAAACCCCATCTCTAAATCTCGGAGGTCCCAAGCGAACCCCCTCTTCCTTCAGGTCCCCCAGCCAGGCCAGCAGGTCCCCAGCTGTGCTGGACCCGCCCCTGCTCCCCCTTCCGCCCTGCGAGGGGCGGAGCCAGGGCGCGGCGCCCTCTCAGGCCTCGCTATAGCGCTCCCCTTCCCCCCACCGGAGGCCTGGCGCCCCGCCCCCCCAACTCACGGTTTCTCTAGACTCCAGTCTACTCGATCTCTTGGCGCCCCACCCCGCCATACCGCTCCCCGGACCGAGCTCGGGCGGCCGCCTGCCCCTGTCCTTCACACGCGCCCAGTGCCCCGAGTTCCTACCCGGTCGCGATCTACCGCCCAGGGCCCTCCGAGACCGCACACGCAGCCCGCCGGCCCCCAGGGTCCAGGATGACCACGCTGAACCGCTCCCCGCCCTCCGGCCCCTTCTACGCGAGCACGAGGCCCGGCGCGCCCCTCACCCCCACCCTAAACACACACAGGCACACACATCCAACGCCACTTCGTGGCTGGGACAGACCAGAGAGCTCTAACCCGGACGCGGCCCCACCTGCCCCCCCCATACCGCGCTCCCCACAATTTCGCCGTCCCTCCGCCCCCATCCGGGGCTTTGGCCCCTCCCCGTCTCGAGCTCCTCGGGCTCCCCGCCGGGCCCCCGGGCCCAGTTCCGAGCCCTCCGGCCGCCGCCCCCCCCCGCCCCCGTACTCACCACCAAGTGACTAGGCTGCGGACCCCTAAACTCTAGCCCCCCCCCCGCCCACCGGCTACTCTCTCTCTCTCCGGCAACCCCCGCTGCTGCCGCCGCTGCCCCCCTCACCCTCCGCAACTCCCAGGCTCTAGCCCTCGCCGACCAACACCCCCCCCCCGCAACTCGCCGGTCTCAACCCCCCCACACCCCGCCCCACCGCCCCTACAACTACCCGGCTCTCCTCGCTCCCCAGCTCTCTCTCCCCACAACTACCCGCCCTGTACAGGTCTCTCTACCGCAGACAATACCCAGACCCCCTCTTCTCCCCACAACTATCTGCCCACCCCTCCAACAATCACCGGGCTATCTCCGGCGGCAACTACCCGGAGCTCCACCGCCACAAACTCCCCCACCTCGGCGAACTACAGGGCTCCTCACTCAGTCCTCTTCTACATCCTCCCTCCTCAACAACTCTCCGGCTCCCAGATTCCCCCAGCCTCCCAGCCTCAGGGCCCCAACGTGCTGGAGGCCCTTACGGCCCCTAACCCCCGGAGCTCCGGGGCTCCAGCTCCCACTCCCCACCCCCCCACACACATTCACGGTGTCTGATCTCCAACTACCCCCGGCCCAGTCTCCCACTCCTCTTTCACCAAGATCTCTCAACTCGTCGCTCTCCCACCTCCAGGGGCTGGCCCCCGACCCCCTGCCCGCGCTCCCCCGCTGGGCTCCGGGGCTCGACCTCCAAGTTTGCCAATTGATTCCTCCCCCGCCCCCCACCGGCTCAGCGCTCCGTGCCGGTCGAGAGCTCACCTTCGGGACTGGGCTCCGCCATGGCTTCCAGCATCGCCCCCTCCCCTCCTCCCGGTCCGGCGCCCCCCTCCCCTGAGCCGGGGATCCCGGTGCCGCCTCCGGTGCTCGGTGCTCCTACTGCCTCGCTCCACAGAGGTGTCCGCCTCGGCCCGGTTATGACTCGAGTCCGCTAGCCGCTGCCGCCACCTCCCTCTACCCCTGCCTCCCGCACTCCCGGACCGGGCCCCCTCCCCCCGCGCCGCCGGCCGCCTGCTCCCTCCTCCTCCTCTCTCCTCCCTCCCTCCTCCTCTCTCCCTCCTCCCTTCGCGGGTGCCGACGCGCAATGCATCAAGGGGCTTGTAGTCCATCCGGGGGCAGCGGAAAGGGGACTGCATAGGCCTCCGGAACTTCAGTTCCCAGCAAGCCGAGGAAGAGCGCAGGCGCACTAAACCGCTCCCCTCCCCCGGGGAGTGGCGGGGAGATTGGGAGCGGAGGGTAGAGCGGAAGAGCGCGCGCAGGCTCCTGGGAAATGTAGGCTGGGCGGGACTAAGAAAGAAGGAAAAGAAGGGATTAGAACTCTCGGCCACCATACTGCCTCATTCTGCGGCTTCTTTCTCCCCGCGGGGGACCGCCCCACTTCCGGCCAGACGGAGAAGGGGTTGCTGGGGGATGAAGTTCTCCCGATGATAATGGCTCCCTCCTCCCCGTCTTCTCCCTCCCTTGAATTCTACCCACCGCCACAGTCTGGCCAAGTGAGATGCAACCGAGGACAGAGTCCTCTGACCAGTTCCCACGCATGAAAATCTCTTCCTTAATCCAAAGGTCGTAACAAACTTGGATGCACTTCTCTAAAGCAGGTACTTTCAAACTTTCTCCCCAGAAACGCAAGGTAAAAAAACAAAACAAACCACTGTATTTTTTACATCGGGACCCAATACACACGTCTATAAAACTAAAGTTTCACGAAACGACACTCGGAGTACTTAATCGCAACAAAATTTTTTTTTTTTTTTTTTTTTTGCGCAAGGAAAAACCCAACATCAGCAGAATGAACCAAAATATATTACTACCCCTCCAACCTCCACTTTCCCCACCAGAGGACAACTAAAAAGAAAAAGAAAGGAAGCAACACAAAGCAAATTCCAGTTCAGCTTGGTGGTTTCCTCTTTATTGATGTGCCTCCTACCTTCCCCCCACAATTTCAGTCCCTTCCATCTACCCCCAAAAAAGGAGGTAGTGAAAGGAAGGGAATGTTGGGGTTCTGAGCCCCTTGGGCAGTTAGAAAGGGAACAGAAACCAAAACAATCGCTGGATGTGACAGATTGACAATCGAGAAGTCTAAAGCAGAGTGGGAAAGGTGGTAAGAGCAAGGGGCGAAAGGAGAGGTCCAAGAGGTCACCTCCCCCATGAGCCCTCCTGCTAAGAGGGGCTGGAAGAGAGCCTCAAACATTAGGAAGTGCAGGTCCTGAAGAAGGGAGGTGGTGGTTGAGCCCGGAGGAGGAGTAGGTCAAGGAAGGGGGGGGCCACCTCTCTCTTTGTAGAACGGAACCCCCCACCTCAGGGGGAGCAGCTTCACAGACCGTAGACACTTTCATCACTGTAGGCGATGTATAGAAAGAAGTCCTCTTCGTGGTGTTCCTGGGGCGGAGGCAGAAAATGATGGGACTCAGACATCTGGGCTGTAGTTACTTGAACCACCCGTTGCCCAGACCCATTCTTCAAAAGCCCTTTTTTCTGAAGAGCCCCCAAACACTCAGGCCCTGGACTCACTCCCAAACTTGCTCCAGGCCTTAGCAGCCAAGTAGTATTAGCCCTAGCAACAGTCCTGGACAAAAAGATCTCAAACTGTTCTCTGCTGCCCGGGGAGGGGGGGAAACGAGATGAGTGAGGGTCCGAACTGAGCTCCACTGTTCCCTCCCTCCTCTCTACTCCTACTGCCCCTGTCCAAACCTTCAACCCCTTGTCCAAACCAACTACCCCAAAATTTTGAAGCCAAAGATAAAATTGAGAGCTAAACAAGCCAGCTAGTCCGAGAACTGCTGACCTGAAACTCTCTTCCTCTCAAGCTCTTCCAACACCTCTCCAAAGCCTCGGCCCCTCTCCAGTCACTATACCTGGTAGAGCTGACCCATTGTGGCACTGGTGGGTGGAATGACATTGTTGACAAAGAAAAACAAGGCATCCTCAGCTCGGAGATGAATTCGCTTCCGGATCAAGAAGTAGAACTGACCAACTGCCAAAGAGACAAGGTACGATGAAGTCCCAAATGGCCTCAAAACAACAGTCACTGTGTGGAGCCTCTTCCCAGAGACTGCACTCCCACCCGCAGGAAGCAAACCTGGGTACCCGGACACGTCCCCACCTGTGAGATCAGAAGGCACCAGATATTTCTTTTTGTCCAGGTCTCCTATCCGAGCTTTGGGAGCCTTTTCAACTATCACCTGATAACGAGAAGATGAAAATTAGGAAACACTGGGTGGACAGCCCCACCATTACACCTGTCGAGAACTCAAGAAACAAAATTCTTAGCACCCAAGCCCATCCGACTCATTTTTCTTTGTCTGGGAACACGCGGTGCAGCCTCGAGTAGAGATCCTGACCCCACTGCGTCGGACTCGCCTAAACATCCAGGATCCCTAAGTAGGGCGTCATAATAAACAAGTGTCTTAATCAGGCAGGGATGACTCGTCTGGGCCGACTAGAGCGTCCACCTCAAAAACCCAGCTAGCTGGGGGGATGGCCATGTGAAGCTCAGACTGTCAAACTCCCTGCAGCCTCCCACACCACTCCCCACGTCTCTCTCTGCCATCCACGTCCCCTCACCCCCAGCTCTCCCGCTGCCCCGCTCCGTTCAACCTCGGGTCCCAGCCACAGCAGCTTCGGGCCCGTTCCCAACCCCGCCACGGCCAGCAGCCCGATGCCCACGCTGCCCGGCCGGACCCCAACCCCGGGCTATGGCGTCAGAGCCAGCGCCCCGCGCCCTCGGCCCTGGCTACTGTCCTCACCGGAACCCGGTCCGGGTATTTCTTTCGGATCTTCTCGCCCTCAGAGCGGCGTTTCTCGAACGGATGCTCCTCTTTATACACGAACTTCATCCTCCCGGGAACCGGGTGGGACCGGGCTGGGCTATGGGAACCCGGGGGGGGCCGGGACGGGGGGCGGCGGCGACGGCGGCGACGCGCGGGCGGACTCAGCGGAGCGATCCCGGGACTTGCGCCACTTCCCTATTCACCAACCCCGCCCCCGACCGTCCGGGGTCGCCCCGCCTGCTACGTTACGCCACTAGCGCAGCGGCCCGGACGCAGCCAGCGTAGCACCACCTACTGACCGCCCCCCTCACGCCGTCTACGTAATCGTTTTGGAATCAATTTGTGGGCTACGCAGGCGACGTAGCAAAGGTGGTTGGCTTGTGCTATGGTCGAAAATAACTGAAAACCCACGTTCCGACCTTCCCCCACCAAGCTGGAGACCAAAAGGGCTAGAAGCTGCTAATTATAATTTGAGGCTTGGTTTTCCGAAAGTTCTTTTCGGAAACGAGGTGAAGGGGGTGGGGGTAGGCAGAGATAATTATAAGGAGAGCTATTCAGGAAACGCGCTGGTACGCCGAAGGCGGCAGCTGACACCAAAACAAAGTAGTACCCAGACAGAGGAGCCGGGTCTCCGGAAAGGAAGGAGGGCAGAAAGAAAATACATATTCGGAGCAACGCAGAGAACGCTTAGGCTCCGAGGAGGAGTGGACCAATAGGGACCGGAGAGGAGGTCCGAAAGGTAGGGACTACGTCAGCGCGGAGGAACACTTTCAGTGCCGTGCCTGCGAAAAATCATGTGATCCCGAAGGGCGGAGCGTCACGTGGCGGCCGCGGGAAGTAGAGCCGGCCGCGGGGAGGGAGGCGGTGCCGGGGCGGGGGCGGAGCCGGCGGGGAGGCGGGCGCGGCCCCGGGGGGCTGGGGTGCCCGCCGCCTGCGGCAGCGGTCGCCTGTCCTATCCACGTCGGTCCCCCGGCGAAGTCCCGCCTCTCTGGTTTGTGGCCCAGCTTTCTCCTTCCGTCGCACCGCTGTGTGCTACTGCCCTGCCGCTCAGGTTCCCTCGGGATACACAGCTGTCCTGTCACTCCCCGGCAGGGCACCCATGCCGTGGCTGAGACCCTTCCCGCCAAAGCACCTGGGGTCGAGGTTCCCTGCTCCTTCCCCCAAAGCCAGCAGCCTCTCTCCCCAACCCTCAACCTTCCTGCCCCTCATGCCGCCGTCTGCTCAGGGGACAGGGTGGATGTGAACAAAGGCTCCTCCCCTCATTTCCCAACCCAGAGAGAAGGACCTAGGGCAGCTTTGGTTTCCAAAGTTATAATGCATGGTTTAAAAGAGAGAAAAGAAAAAAAGAGAGAGAGAGAAAGCTGGTTACAGGTCTAAGGGAATCTAGGAAAAAGGGAAAATGGATAAGTGGGGGGGGAGGGAAGGGACAAGTTTGGGGAAAATCCAGTGGCCCAAAAATCCCAGTTTCCCACCCACAGCCCAGCCCTTGGAGTGAAGAATTAGATCAGTTTTGTACAAGAGTTTTTAAAAAATCAAATCACAACAAAGCTGGCTTGGCTTTTCTTTGAGCCTCCCGGATTACCGAGTGTCTGTGTGTCATTCTGGCCAGTCCTGTCTCTCCACCAGACAGTTTCGGCTCTGCTAGGCCTCCGCTTACGTCCCAGTCTGGGGTTTCCAGGGAGCATGAACTCGACGCTAGAGTGAGGCTGCTTCAGAGTCTGGCCCACGTGTCCATCCAGACTCCAGAGGGAGTGCAGAGCTCCCAGGGCAGGGAGGGGCGGGAGGGGCAGACCTGCCCACACAGTCCTCACCACTGGACAGGGCAGCAGACGGCACCCCGAGGGTTCGCCCCCATCCCCCCCACCCCGACTCAGGGGCGGGGAGAGCAGCTGTCACCAGAGCCTGTGTTGGTGAAGGTTTCGGCTCAGCACAGAACGAACGTCAGCGGTGAACCTGGGATGACAAGAACTTGAATTGGTAGAGTCCTTACGGTTGATATCCTCACAACACTAGTGTTAGGTGGCCTCACTGGAGATGTGGGGTGGAAACGATCACCATTTTCACAGGAAACGGAGGTCCAGTTTGCCCAAAAACCCACTGGCTAAAAGTGATGAGCTTTACTGTAAGGAGGCCTGGGTTCAAATGCTAAGTTCTTAAGGGAAAAGAGATAAGTCAAACAGGACACACTTTTATTCCCTCTTGGGATCCCCCACCTCCTTTCCTCAGAAATCTAAGTGTCTAACTTCCCTTACCTGAGCGCATCCAGCATCGGAAGCAGGTTGAGAAGGGCGGTGTCGCTGGGGTCACTGAACCACGATTTGATGGGGATGGCGTTGTCTAGGGCGGGTAAAAATAAATGCGCATGAGAAAAAAGAGAGTTCAATAGACAGGCTGATTTTTCTTTTATTTGGGGATGGGGATCGTTACTTTAAAATATGTTCCTCTCCCTGACCCACCCAAACCCAGCAACCTAAGTAAAACCTTCCGGATTCATCCTCCAAAATAAAATCAACTTTTAGTCACCGTATTTCATGTTAGCGTGAAGCTCCTAGGCAAATTCATTACCACTGTGCCTCACCTGAAGCAAATTTAGTCGGAGGACTGTGATCTATGAAATGGACGTGGGAGGGAGGAGAATGTCTCATGTGAAAGAGAAACACCTTGCATCCTGACCCACAGTAAACCAGGCATCCCAGCTCCAGCCTTTCAGAATCCCTCCTCAGAACTTCCTGGTCCTGCCAGACCCGCCTTCTCCCATACCTGGGTGGCTCCTGTAAGCCCCTGGGGAGTTATCCAGGATCACGATGCTGGAGAGGTCGCTGTGGACCACAGAGAGATCCTTGATGTAGCTGCCCAGTTCCAAAGTGCAGTGCTGGAAGGTAGGGTGAGCTGGGCATCAAGAGACTTGTCCCTGTGACCACAGCGCAGACCCAACGACGCCCACGGGCAGCCAACTCCCACCCCGGGGGTTATGTGATACGCCTCCCCTCACCCCCCCGAGGGTCCCATTCCAGGGCAGCTGCCTCAAACTCAGATCCCTCCCTGGTGGCCTGCCTCCCAAGCTTCCTTTTCATTCTGTAGGGAAGCCCCCCTTACCTGTCTGTAGTATCTCCTCTTGAGAATACTCCTGCTATTATCCAGTTTATCTGCCACAGCAGAGCCGTAAATCTCCATGCTTGCTGTGAACACCACCAGGTCGTACCACTGACTCACCTGAAATTGAGTGGGGGAGAGGGAGGTGTTAGAAGAGGTGACCATTCCTCTAGACACACGGTTCTCTTTCGCTAGGACCCAGCCTCTCAACAACACCAAGCGTCTCTGAAGGCCCCCAAACTCAAGAGTCTTAGGCACCACACACCCTTAAGATTCAGAGCTGCAAAAACGAACAAGCAGGCAGCCCGTGGAAGAACGGAATTACATCAGCACATGAACCCAAACTACCGAAAGCCATCCATGCTCTGGCTGTCCCACAACCTCCCCTCTCCAAAACCGCCCATACCCATTTCTCCTCAGTCCCTACTTCCTCCGAGTCGTCTAAATTCCCAGAGTCCTGAAACCACTCCTTCCTCACAGAGCTCCCCTTAATTTCTGCGAACTCACCACTTCTAAGAAGAAATCCACATGGGGCCTCTTATGTACAAAAAACCGGACGGGATGTTTGTCTATTACCACCTGTAGATCAACAGGGAAGGGTTGGGGGCTGTCCTGAGCACCAGAGCACAGGCCGAAAGGACACCCCCGCCCTCCCGCTGCCCGCTCCCCTCCTGAGGCTGCCACAGGTGCCGGAGGATGGGGGACAGGGACGAGACGCTCTGGGATTGGGAAAGGAAGTCCGGGTGGGAGCCGAGTAAGACATGACCATCCCCCACACACCTTGAGGATGAAGTCTGGAGGCGTTCCAGGCCGGACGGTGGGCCTCAGGACCCCATCGTGATGGGAGTGGATAAGTGTCTCATCCAGATCCAGCACCAGGATCTTCCTCTTCACCTGACCTGCACCACAACCAATACCAATCAACCTCCAGCCCGCATCTTAAACCCTACCTCACCTTAAAGGAGTCTTCCCAGCCAGCACACTCACCTAGCCGATTCCGGGACACAGGAGATAAGGGAAGGATATCATATCGAACAGTCTGGTACTGAATTATCTAAAAATAGCAAGAGAGGGGATCAGAACCCTTGACAAGGAGATCTTGACAAGAAACACTGTATGCCGAGCATCGTGGAAGTAAATGCAGATTATTTCACTGAACCCTCAAAACCCTAGTAAGAATAATATAAGAATAATACTGACAACAATATCATCATCTCTAAACAACGAAGAGCCCAAGACTTAGCCAGGACCACGTAAGACCACACAGCTGGGAGTTTTCTTATTTGGTTGTCTGTCCCCCCAGTTAGAATGAAAACTCGGCGAGAGCATGCATGTCGTCTAAATCACAGCTGTACTCCGAGTACTCTGTCACAGGCCGGTCAGTTAGTGTCAGGGTCGATGCGGTGGTGGCGCCAGAGTGGTACCCATGCCGTCCGACCCAAGCACCTGCCCTCTTGACCGTGATACTGTCTCGCTGTGCCACAACAAAGAAATGCGTGGCCTTCTGCACATCCATCCCAAGGACCCTTTGTGACAACTCCCCATCACCTCCCTTTGGGAACTGAGAGCCTCAGATTCCTTCGTGGGCTGAGAGGAGTCAGGAGAGGAGGTCCTTGGGTACCTAAGGGGAAGGGAGGATGAGGGAATCCAGGGGTTGTCAGGTCAGCTAAGTTCCTCTGGCTGGCGGCCACCAGGCCTATTTTAACCAGCCACCTGTCCGCTTCTGTCTCTACCAGCCAAGTCACAAGTGGCAGAGAACCTCAGCCCTCTGACCTGCCTCCTTATTCCGGTACCCAGGGCAGGGCACACAGCACTGGAAAGCCCCACCCGCCAGGATGACTGACAGGGTGTTGGGAAGGCCGGGGTGAAGTAAGGGCCATGAGGGAGGTGAGGAAGGGACAAGGACTTCACCACCTCAACCTTCCAGCTTCTCCAGGTCTCCTCTAGAGGCTCCTATTTCTAGCACCCAGATCTCTCCCATGCAAGCCTGGCAATCCCTTCCTCTGCTCTTTTCTCCTCAGCACAGACAGATGCTCTTCAGTCCATCCCTGGGCCCCAGCCTCACCGGAACCAGGCTCCCCCCTTGCAAACCACAGGGCCCCTCTCCCCCTAATGCCAAGGCATCTGCCCTTCTTTTCTCCCTGGGTAGGGATGAGGGCAGGGATGAGGGCCGTGACAGCTTGGGTGTCCTGCCCTGCTATCTCGGGTTGCACATGCTGGGCATGTAGGGAATGCTCCCAGCATCTGCCAGAAAGGGGGTGGGGGGTTGGGGGAGAAACCAGATTGGAAGGGAAGGAAGGGAAGACAAAAGGCTGTGGGGTCAGTGCTGCCCAGAGGAGAGCAATTTTGCAAGTAACTAGCATCTGGATGGTCTGGAGCACTACTTCCTGCACCCAGAACAGAAATTTGGCGGGGGTGGGGGTGGGGGGGTGTGCTCAGAGCAAGGCCAGGCAGAGAGAACAGGAGTTAACATGTAAAGAAAACCCCAGGAGCTAGCCCCACGCACATCTCAGCATCTCTGACCCCAAATTCTTCTTGGCTGCTAAGGTGTTTGAGGGAAATAGCCCTGCCTACAACTATGACCACTCAGAAACAATTCTCACCCTAAATCAGGAAGCGGTAGAGGAGACACCGAATTCAAGGCCAGGCCCACTCCCCCAAGTCAGTATGTCAACACCACCACCACCACCACCACCCAGGGCCCTCTGGAAATCTTCTGGCCGAAGCAGGCCCTAGCTGCTTTTATTCTTCCAAGTTTTATTGAGGAACGCCAAAGAGGACAGACCAGAGAACTTCTGCACCTCAGCGCACTGAATTCTCCCCAGACTTCTTTCAGAGGACTCTCCCCAGTGGTGAGAACACAAGAGCACATTCATTAAATTAAATGATGGTTAGCCTACGGAGCTTTGACCTTGGAGAAAAGCTCTGGGGAGGGAATGCGGAGATACTTGGGCCCTTCACTGCCCAGTGTCCCTCATCGTGCTGGGGTCTCCTGGAGAGGCAAGTGTGCTCTCCAGTTCAAGCCCACAACGACAAGCGCCCATCTTCCCACAGAGACACCCAAATTTTAATGTGCTTCCTTCCCTCAAGCCTAACATGAAAGCATCTTTCTTAGTCCTAGGGTCTCAATAAATCTAGACACCCACACTCTGAAATAAGTTTCCAGGGCGTTTTTGGAGGAGTCCCCTTAATGCAAACCGCAGGGGTTTCTTCTTCACACCCAAGGCTTTTCCCAAGTTCCCATGCTTGTTTGTCACATATGCTCTCCCACCCACCCCTACCCTTGACGCAGAAGCCCGGCTCTTTCTTGTTACAAGACCTAATACACACGGAGGGTCTTCCACAAGCTCACGTCGGCAGGGCTGGTGCCATCAAACAGGTGTTCCCTCCTCTAGGTTTCTTTAACCACAACTCCCGCTTTCTTAAACGGCGCCCCACCCACCACCCCAGCCCCCAAGAGTTGCCAAATCCTGTCCCCGGCTAGCCCCCCCATCTCGGTTCTACTACAGGGGTCTCCCCCCTCCCCATTCCACCCCATGCCCAGCTAAGGGTGCCCCAATTCTCTAACGGGAAAAGCCGCCGCCAGGACTCTGTTCCGAAGCCCAAACGGAGGCCCGACACTTTCCAAAACCCCGTGAGCACCGCTGACATAGGTTCCCACCACCAGCGCCCAACCCGGCTCACCGTGCGGATCTGCCTCCGCAAAAGGTAAATGAAGAAGCTCCAGAGCTTGGCGGCGAAGGCCACGAACGTGCGCAGCCCCAGCAGACACTGCGTCCGCATCATCCCGATGACCCCGGCACCGCCGGCCCCGGGGCCCCCGCGGCCCAGCTCCGCCAGCCCCCCGGGGGCAGCCCCCCGCCGCCGGGAGGGGGAACGGGGGCCCCGAGTGGCAGGAAAGGCTGCAGAGAGGGGCGCGGAGCGGGCGGCTCAGAAAGCCACCCCCGGCGAGGGGAAAGCCCAGCGGAACCGGGAGCTGGGGGACAGGCGTGGGCAGCCCGCGGGGGCCCACATGGGCGGGGAGTGGCACCGACGGCTTCGCGGAGGTTGCGGGCCGAGACGGGTCGGGCTAGGACGGGGTCCTCCGAGACCAGGAGGGAAGGGGATGGAGAATTGGGGGAGGGGGCAGTGGGGGAGGGGGCCAGGGAGAAGGGAGGGAGGGAAAAGGGAGGGGGGAGGGGAAGGGGGAAAGTGGAGGGTGGCCCGCTGCGCAGGCGCGCTAGGGGGCTGCCCGAGGGAAAGGGCGGGCGGGGGCCGCGGCGGCGGAGAACCGGCCGGCTGAGCGACAGAGCGGGGAAGGAGGGGGAGGGGGAGCCGAAGGGCGCGGACGGCTGGACCGGAGCGGCCTCCCCCTCCCCGAAGCCGGGGGTGCCTTAGCCGCTGGGGAGCGGGGCTGCAGCCTCTGCAGCTGGATTTCCCACTCTGACAGGCGCCATTTTACCGCCCTAAGAGCTCCCTCCTCTCTTCCCCCCCCCCGCTTCCCCTCTGACACTGTTTCCGGTGGTGACGTGTATTCGCTTCACCGGGACTAAAGTTCCCCCTCCTCGGTCTATGGGGGCGGGTAAGGAAAGCCGAGTGAGCGCCCAACAAGGCCGCAGTATCGCGCAAGCGCGGAAGGTGGCGGCGGGGCGGGGCCTGCGAGCGAGGCAGGCCCCGCCTTCAGCGGGGGGGGCGGAGTGACGTCACTTGCCGCCGAGGTTCGGGCCGTCGGACGGGCTCGGGCGGCCTCCTCCCCCTCCCACTGACAACTGCCCCAACGGCTCTTCCGGCCCTAGTCGTGGAAAAAATGTCCGGCTTCTGTGCTCCAGGGCTCGGGAAGGGCCCCTCCGCGTGAGCCCCTCCCTGGGATATTGAACATAATCACCTCTCATTCCAGACTAGACCCGGTCTCAGTGGTGGGGGGATTCGTGGGTGCCCCGCCCCTTTCACCTGGAGGGGGCGGGGCGTCGGGCCGTGACGCCATCAGAGGGCGCCGGATGAGGGACCGGACGCGAGTTAGAGATGGAGTCGGTGTTGGCTCTGGGCGGCCTGGTGCTGTTGCGGGGTGAGGGCCAGAGGCACGGGGGTTCCGTCCCGGGCTCCCGGGGCGGAAGCGGAGAGGAAGAGCCGTGTGTCCCAGGCTAGGGGTGGCCTCCAGGGGTTCGTGAGGACGGACATCTCCGCGTTCTCACGCTGTTTATCCGTCCCTCACTCTCCCCAGACTCCGTGGAGTGGGAGGGGCGCAGTCTCTTGAAGGCGCTTGTCAAGAAGTCTGCACTGTGGTGAGTATCCGCCAGCTTCTCCCCGAGGTCCCCGGGGCGGAAGTGGCGCGGGGGGGGAAGCCCGGGCCCGACTCTGTGACACGCTCCGTCTCTGCCTTAGTGGGGAGCAGGTCCACATCCTGGGCTGCGAAGTGAGCGAGGACGAGTTCCGTGAAGGTTTTGACTCCAGTATCAACAGCCGGTAAGTTGGGAGAGAGTGCATTGGATGTGGGGTCTCTAAGGAAAGTGGTCTCCAGCAGCAAGTGCAGAACCTGGTGGTCGTTAGCAGCTACTCAGCTATTCAGTGAATGGATGTGGGTCTTTCAGGAGGCGAAAATTCGTAAGAGATGAGCAGTGGTGAGTATCTGGAGAATCCAAAGCACAGACCGTAGCGTGGAAGTTGAGTGAGAAAGCATGATGAAAGGCCGATGGTGTAGTTTTGCCTCAGAGGCTGTACTGGAGGATGAGAATAAATACATTCTGGGGCGCCTGGCTGGCTCAGTGGGCAGAGCCTGCTACTCTCAATCTCAGGGTTGTGAGTTCGATCACTGTGGGTGCAGAGATTAATTACAAATAAAATCTTAAAAAAATAGGGGCGCCTGGGTGGCTCAGTTGGTTAAGCCACTGCCTTCGGCTCAGGTCATGATTCTGGAGTCCCGGGATCAAGTCCCACATCGGGCTCCCTGCTCAGCAGGGAGTCTGCTTCTCCCTCTGACCCTCTGCCCTCTCATGCTCTTTGTCTCTCATTCTCTCTCTCTTAAATAAATAAGTAAAATATATTTAAAAAAGTCTTAAAAAAATAAACATTTTCTGTCTTTTCGAGTCATTCGGAATCTCATGATGCTTCATCCAGACGTGGATTCCAAAGTTGCATCAGCCCTAGCTGCAGGTTATTAGCGATTTGTTCTAGAGGCAGGGGGAACAGCCTATGCCAAATTCGGCACATATGTGAAAGCATACTGTTTGTGGGAGGTGGACAGGCCTTCTGCATCCAGACAGATAAAAAGGTACTTCATAGTAAAAGGTCTTACAGAGCAGGAAAGGGAGTTTAGACGTTATTCTAAAGGTAGTGAGAGTCATTTCAAAATTTAGGAGGAGAGTGATAACTTCATAGTTGTGGCCAGTGTGGAGAAGGGGGTTGGAAGGGGGACAGCCTGGAGACAAACCAGGAGGGAAGTCTACTGCAGTTTTCCAGGTGCGCTCAGGTGTATATGCACTGGGCACGTGTGTTATGAAACAGGTGCTGTGGTAGGCACAGGGAATGGGACAGAAGTGGTCTCTACCCTAATGAATCCCAGGGAATGATACTAAGAGATGACAGAGATCTGCTACTTAAAACAGTAGCAGTAACGATAGAGTTTAGGACAAACATAAAACGACTCTAGTAGGTAGAATTTCCAGAAGTTATAGATTGATGTGGGGAGGAGGTCAGGAGGCTCCTGAACCCACCTGTGTGCCTGGTTAAAAAAGACTACTGTCTGGTCAGGACATTTCAGTAGATCACATCTGTCTGCTCAGCCCTGACTTTGTATTGGAGCTTGCAATAGGTTATGTTAAGGTGGCATCTATAAGAGAAGCAAAAGATAGAAAGGGGGTATCTGGAACAACTGAATCCTATCCCAGGACTTCTAACCCGTGCCAGACTCCCTCGCCTGTACTGTTTTAACAGCAGTTAGTGCCATGTGACTTAATTCTTGATCTTCTCTAAGCTGTTCTACTAGCAGGAACCACATGTCATGTCTTCTTCTCCGTCCTTCCAAGGAATGACACGTATTAGGCCCCACTAGGGAAATATTTGATGATGACGATGCTAACATTTATTGAGTATTTACTATGTGTCACGCATTGTTTTAAAGATCAAGCAGTTGGTATTCCTCTCCTACAATTGAAGAAATTGAGTCTTAGATTAAGTAATTTATCAGTCAGGTGACCTTGGGTAAGTAGTAAAGTCAAGCTTGGAGCTCAGGGCTTTCTGTCACCAAAGTCTGTGCTTTCAATCAGTATATTCCATCTCTCAGTATTACCTTTCACTAATGTTTAGAATATTAAGTCAGAAGAATAGAGCCCCAAAGATCACAGGGTGAAGTTCAAGATTGAGGAGAGGGGGCACTGTTAAGTTGTCTCCCGTTTTCTCTTTGCAGGCTGATTTACCATGACCTCTTCAGAGATCCTCTCAGCTGGTCACAGACTGGGGAAGCCCTTCCAGGGGGACCCCTGGGAGCCTTGCAAGCCATGTGCAGGACAGATCCTGGTCCTTTCACCATCGCTCTCGATTCACTGAGCTGGCTGCTGCTGCACCTTCCCTGTACTGCGGTCTGCCAGGAGCTCTGTGCCTTGAGCCATCAGCACTCCCGCCCTGGTGACACTTCCCTTTGTTCTTCTCATACACCTTCCCCTGCCAAGGAACAAGCGCCTTTCCAGCCTAAGAAAGACCATATTAGAGATCTCCAATTGGGCCTTACTCCATCTTAATATTTATTCTCGTTCTCTAGTTTTCCATGATGCCATCTACCAGTCACTTTATTGTTTCTTTTTCAAGTTCTTTCTTATTCATTAGTTTCATTCGTGCACTCAACAGATAAGAATTACATAATGTGTCAGGGACAATTCTAGATGATGGGAAGGTAAGACTAACTCTAGTCAGATTTTTGTTCAAAGTCCCCTAAAGGACACAGACAGATAAATAAGCAATTACAAGATAGTCTGATAATAGCCGTGATAATAAAGGAACAGACACAGAGTGCCTTAAGCGGAGTTTGCTAGGCACATTTGGGCAGACCAGGGGCCCTGGGACTAGCCCTGAAGTATGCTGTGGGTTCTATCTACAGTGGACTCTGGAATCAGACATCCAGCTTTGTGTTAAGGTGTTTGATCTCTCAGTATCTCAGTTTACTCTATAAAAGCAGGAGGAGGGGTGAATGGATAATAGTAGGATGAACCATTTGGAATCCTGTTTTGGTAGGTCAGATCCACATACGTGTCGAGTAACAGCAATTTCATGTGGTTCAGCCTAAAAATGCTGGCCTTCGTAAGAACTGAAACGTGAAAGTATTTGGTGCAGTGCCTAACACTTTGTCAATACCCCAGAAAGGGGGAGAGAAAGTTGAGGGAACCAAAGGCATTGAGTGGGATCACAGTGTAAAGTTCCCAAACCTGCAAGGAGTTCAGTGTGTAAGAGATGAAGCTGGAAACTAGGCAGAGAGCAGATGAGGAAGGGGTTGATTCCATCCCTTGGGCGGTGAGGAAGGAGCTCCTGAGGACTGAAGTCCGAGTGGGTCGTGTTCAGCTTTGGCAGTAATGAGGTGAGGGCCGAAGCAGGCTCCAGAGCCGTCAGACCAGCCGAGGGAGGTCAGGACCAGCGGAGCCGTGATGGAATGTGGCCTCACCTCGTGTGCTCCTCCTTTGCTCTTCGAGCCCAGGCCTCCATCCTGAATGTGCCCCACCCTCCTTGTCCCTCCAGGTGGCAGCTGCCCGGCAGAGCCCGTGCGAGTGCTAGGCCTGCTCCATGAAGAGCTCCATGGCCCAGGCCCCCTGGGAGCCCTGAGCAGCCTGGCCCAGACCGAAGTGACCCTGAGTGGGGCAATGGGCCAGGCTTCGGCCCACATCCTCTTGCGGAGGCCCCGACAGCGCCCAGCCCATCAGGTCAGGAGAACCCCAGGGAAGCACGGGAGGTCGGGGGCAGGTAAGCAGGGGGAGAGTAAGAGAGCTGATGTGAGGGAACACTTCCCCGTGTGTTGTCACTTCCCTCGCTGAATCTTCACGGCTACCTGTGAGGTGGATGGTTTCATTACCCCCATTGAGCGGCTTGGGGAAGGTTACCCAGGGTTCCAGAGAGTGAGTGGCAGAGTCAGGATTTGAACTCAAGATTGCCTGACTCGGATCCTGTGAGCTTAAGTGGGAGGAGGTGTCATCTTCCAAGAAATGGCAAAGGACAGAAGCCTGGGAGCGGTTCCTGGGGGAGAAGGAACGGGTTCTGATGGAGAGGTTTGAGGAAGAGCTGAGGGACGAGCAGGAGCTGCAGGCAGCCCATCCCGTAGTTGCCCCGGGGGCCGGGGCAGTTCGGTGCGAGTTCTCCCTGGTTTGCTCCGTAAGATGGAAAACACCTTTCTGTTTATACTTTCTTCTCCGCAGACTCAGTGGTTCTCCATCCGGCCTGACTTCAGCCTGGATCTCCAGGGGGGACCCCTGCTAGAGTCCCAGCCCCACCCAGATCCTCACACACCCCCGGTATCTAAGGGTGTGGGGGCCAGAACAAGGGAATGGAGGGTGGGGTCAGGGATTCCAGCCATGAGGCAAAGGGGCAGCATCCTTTGTACCTTCAGGTGGACCCCACAGCTCATGTGACCTTTAACCTTCACCTGTCCAAGAAAGAGAAGGAAGCCAAAGACAGCCTGACACTGCCCTTCCAGTTCAGCTCTGAAAAGTAAGGTTAGGGGTGAGGTGCCTGGGTTCTTGAGTAGAGCCCAGCGTCTGGGCCTGAGATGGGAGTGATAGCAGGTTATTGGTTAACCTCCCAGACTTTATAGGGGCTGAAGTCCACCTCCAGAGACAAGTCCGGGGAGTGGTTCTCTATCCACTCATTCTCCCAACAAGGCAAAAGGGCCTTTATGTCTCTTTTCTCTCCAGTAGAGCCTTGGGTCACAGAGCAATCTGAGTCTGGGCTGAGCCAGCCCATACCCTGGGGAAGTGGCCCTACCGATCTCTAGGCGACAGTGCTGGGAGGACAGGAAGCTTGATGGGTGTGGCGGACAGGTTAATAACGGCTTCAGTATATGCCTGTTGTTCTCTGCCCAGTGTGTGGGTGGGTGAAGCAAGACTGTGGCAGGATCCTTGCCCTCAAGCTGCTAAGAACATGAGGTGTCATTAGGAGAGCAGTCTAAGCGTTTCTATCCCAGTACCAAGTGGTGCTTCCATACCAACTAAACAGGTCAGAGAGAGAGACTCGGACCAAGAAGAGAGTATGCAGCAGACGTGACTCCTTACCGCCCCCCCCCCACCAGCACCAACTCTCCCCTTCTCCCTTCTCAGACAGCAGGTTCTACTGCGTCCTCGGCCTGGCCAGGCCACCAGCCACATCTTCTATGAGCCAGATGCATATGATGACCTGGACCAAGAAGACCCAGATGATGACCTGGATGTTTGACTGGCCTGGAATTGGAAGGGAGGAGAAAGACCTTGGACCCATAACTATCCTCCCATTGTTTATATTGGCCTTGCCCTGTCCCTGCCCCCACCTTTGTTCTGGGGTCTTGCGAGGCCCTGCCCCATGACCTGTGAGTCAGAGTAGCTTCCCATCTGGACGGAATGTGGGAAAGGGGCATTAGGGGAAGGTGCCTAATAAAGTCTTTATTTTTCTACGGAAAGGCACTTTGGTAGCTAAGCAAGAGTTGGGAGTAGAAGGGACTGAAGAATGGGAAGAGATGGGAAAGCAAGCACTTGAGTCTGTTCGAGTCAGTGGTCAGAGTTGGGGCCTGAATGACAAGGAGTGGTGGCACATGGAGAGCCTTGCACACCATCGGTGCTCAGTACATGTTCTGTTTTAAGCCGAAGCAGGTGCATTTAAAGGTTCCAGGTTCCCTGCAAGGATTTGGGTTGGAAGAAAGCAGAGGCCCTGAAGGGGAAAAAAAGCCTACTTTCCAAAACATACTTTTTTATTACTGTACAAAAAGCACACCCAATCCCCCTCTTTTTGTCTCCCTCACCCCTCCTCCCTTCCCCCCACCCCCACCCCGGGGGGGAACTGTACATGGTACCCCTGGCTGGGGTGACAAGGCTTCTGCTCCACACCCCACCCACGGGCTGAGATCTGCCCCAGGTCATTTCTGGTACCTGGCCACACCAGAGGCTGCCAGGCTGGGGCAGGGGGTCCCAGCTCACACGTACTCCTTGGCAGAGTTGGGCTTAGGGTAGGAGCGGGGTGCACGGTACCCGGTTTTGCCCTCACTCCCAGGACAGGAGCAAGAGAGCAGGGCACCTCCCAGGATGACCAGAGCAGACCCTGCCCAGCCAATGAAGATGGCAGGACCAAACTCGTACCTATGGGGAGAGAGGGTTGGTTGGGGTCAGAAACCCTGCTGTTCCTGACGCCAGGAATCCAGACGTGGCGTTCCCTTAGGAGGCAGGGCTCCCATACTTACTTAAGATTCATGGGGACCAATGCACTATAAAAGTCTGTGACAATCTGGTGGCCGTACCAGGAACAAGCTACCAAGGCAGCAAGACCTGGAGACAGGGTGGTTCAGACGTTATTAGGAGACCCCCAAACCAGCCCCTTGCACACCTTCACTGCCAGATGCAGGGGGAGACCTCACCTGCCACGATGAAAATGAAGCCTCCGGTCACGGCTATCCGGGCCTTCTTCACTTTGTCGTCGCCCCCACAGTTTGTGCACTTCATGCCCATGGTGGCCACGAACATGGCCAGGAAGCCCAGCACCAGGGACACCACCATCAGGGCTCGGGTGGCCTGCAGGGCCGCTGCGGGGGAGGGGGAAGGACGCCCTCATTGCTGGGCGTGCGGACGGCTCCGGCCTTCGAGTCGCCGCCGGCCGCTGGCCTGGGGCCCCTTGGGCGTCCAAGCCCCGGCCGCAGCGGGTGGATCCCGCCCCTCCCGGCTCCGCGGCCTTCCCGCCCCGCCCTCTCTCGGCCCCGGGACCCGCCCGGGGCGCAAGGGTTTCGATGAAACTGCCCCGGGAGGGGGATAAGGGGGCCGGGGCCCGAGGCGGCGGCCGGAGCCCCCGCGCTGGACCGCACGGCCCGGCCCGCGACCCAGCGCTGACCCCGGTATCGTGGGCACCCGGTTTGTGGCTTCGGCTAATCGGCCGATAAGATTACAGGCCGCAGGCGGCGGCCCAAGTCTGACGGAGCGCATGGCTCCTCCGCCAACCCCGCGCCCTCCGCCCCGCGCCGCCTTTTGTCCGGGAGAAAGGGTGGGAGACGGAGGCCGCCACCTCCGCGGGCCGGCGGGGGGAGGAGAGCGCTGGAGGGGGTTGGGCCGCCGGGCGCTGGGGTGGGGGGTGGTGGGGGGAAGGGAGCCCGGCGGCCGGGGCGCGGGCCGACGTGCAGCTGCTGGAACCCGGGCCCGCGGCCCTCCCCGCGCCCCTGCCCGGCCGCTTCCGCTTTCTCCGCCCCGCCTGCTCCCCGGCAACCCCGGGCGTCGGGACCCGGCGCCCCGCCCCGCTCCCCGCTCTCGGCCCCGGCGCGTCCGCCCCGTCGACCCCGCGGCCTTACCCGACAGCGCGAGCACCGAGTCGTACGACTTGCAGCTCATCAGGCCCGTGCTCTGCATGATGCAGTCCATCCACAGCCCCTTGTACGTGGCCTGGGCCGTGATGATGTTGTCGCCTGCGTACGAGCTCACCTGCCACTGCGGGATGGCGGTGCACGCCACCAGGGCCACCCAGCCCAGCAGGGCCATGGCGAAGCCCAGCAGCTGCAGGCCCGAATTGGCCATGTCTGCCCTCGGAAAAGATTGGGGACGCCGGGCGGGCGACCCTGCGGTAAAACAGACAAAGCTTGGAGGGTCAGCCCCTCAAAAAAGACAACTTGCAGTGGAGTCTTAAGTCACCCAAAGAGCAGTTTTGGGGTCAAGCGATTCCAAATCTTTTTGTCACCCGAAGAAAACACAAATCGATCCGTCCGGCGGATCGAGGGCCTTCACAGCTCACGGAACAGGCTCCGCCCGAGGTCTGGTGGTCGCAGAAGCGATCGGCGAAGGCCAGGCGGTCCCCTCCGGCGCTCCCGGCGACCCTATCCAAACAAAAGGCGGAGGGGTAGTATATGCGCGCGGCCCTGGGGGCTGGAGGTCCCCAAAGTACCCTGGACTGTCGGCCCGAGGCCGCCGAGCGAGAGAGACGCTGCTCAGCCGTGAGCGGGCAGATGCGGGCGGACAGGTGCGGCGCACCTGAGTATTTGTAGGGCGTCAGGGGCGCGCCCCCGCGGTCAGCGGGAGCGCGGGGCGGGCCGGACCCGAGGGGCGGCCGAGAGTGACCTGACGTCACCGAAGGGACACTCACCTGAGCCGGAAGTCCTGGTCCAGGTGCAGAGGAAGAAACCTGAGCGTCAGGGTCACACCCCTTCTCTTCCCGGCTGAGACTGCAGGTGGGGAGGAGGTGGAGGCTTCTCCGGAGTTCCAAGCTCAGAGGCAGCCCCTCTAGACTGGACTTCCCTCGAGCACCAGGATGCCCCCTCACCTCTTCACCGCAGGTGCGCCTGGGATGCTGCGGAACCAGGGTTGGGGGGACGCCCCGGGCCCCTTGTCTCCGCCTTCCCACCCCCCACCCGCAGGATGGTTTCTACTCCAGGCGCTCTTTGTCCCGCCCTGCTTTCGCCCCCACTCTCTGGTCGTGTTTTTTTGTTGTTGTTGTTGTTGTTTTGGGTTTTTTCCCCCAGTTGAGTACCCTAACCGTCCCCAGCTTCAGGAACCCTAGCTCCGATCCCTCAGAACTGCCGCACTTAGCAGCCTCCTTGGAGTGTCCACTCCCAGAGCCACGGCCTGTGGCCGCTGTCCGGCCGCACTCCTATACTGCCCTCCACCTGAGAGCCGGCTTCCAGGCCTCGGGCCCCAACACCCCACCTTCTTGACTCTCCATTCCAGTCCCTGTCCCTGCCATAACCTAACGCCTGGGCCCTTGGTGCCCCACCTCGCGGCCATCACTATCCGCCCCCCCCCCAAAGGGTGGGGAGCAGGGTAAGGCCTCGGTCAGATTCTTGGCCACACCCGTCGTTCCCCTCCCCTGGAATCTTTCCAGACCGGTCCTCCACTTTCTCACTGCCCGGTCCCTCCAGCCGTGCACACATTTCCCTTTCCTTCCTGAACCTGGACCTGACTGTGTGTGCTGTCCTCCCTAACGTCCCCTCCGGGGTGGCCTTGGGTTCCGCCCTCAGACTCCCACGTGGCCCTTGGGTTTCTGCTCTCACTCTGCCCAGACTGTTGCCCGGGACTCCCCGCGCACATCTCTTCAAGCGTCTCCATTCACTCATCCCTCCCTCACCTCGTGTCTTCTCCCCTTCCTACCTTTCCCACATCCCATTGCGCACCCCTTCCTCCAGGTCTACCTTCCAGCCCCTTCTCTGCCCCGGGAGCCCAGCGGCTTCACATCCGTGTCCCCTCGCCTGCGGTCCTTCCGACCTCTCCTCCGCTCTCTGACTCACACCTTCCCATCTTCCTCTCCATTTCTCTCTCCTTTTTCCCCCAACTCTCTCCCTTTTCTCGTTTTTCTTCCCCCTCAACCATTTCTCTGTAAGGCTCTCCTTTGATGCAGTAAAAATATTAAAGGGCCAGGGCGCCTGGGTGGCTCAGTCGTTGGGCGTCTGCCTTCGGCTCGGGTCATGATCCCGGGGTCCTGGGATCGAGCCCCGCATCGGGCTCCCTGCTCCGCGGGAAGCCTGCTTCTCCCTCTCCCGCTCCCCCTGCTCGTGTTCCCTCTCTCGCTGTGTCTCTCTCTGTCAAATAAATAAATAAATAAAATCTTTAAAAAAATATATTAAAGGGCCCTGGTACTAAGCTAATTACCCTGCTCTTTTAATGCAGACTTTAAAGGATTATCTGTTATTTGTTTTTATTTCTCTATTTTTTTGATTAATGGTGAGTTGTTTTTTGTTGTTGTTGTTGTTTTAAGGTGCTTTCCAGCTCCAAAATTTTATATTTCTCATTACTGCAGTCTATCCAGCTTGTCTCCAAGTTCATTGCCACTACTGAGGCCGACCCACCATCACCTCCCCTGCCTGCACACACCTGCCTCCAAACCCATATCTCTGCTTCCCTGCTTGTCCCTTTAAAAATCCGTTCTCCAGAAGTCAACTTTTGTTTGTATGTTTCAAGCTTAGATCTTGTTACTTTCTGCTTAAAATCCTTAAAATCTTCCAGGGACGCCTGGGTGGCTCAGTTGTTAAGCGTCTGCCTTCGGCTCAGGTCATGGTCCCAGGATCCTGGGATCAAGCCCTGCATCGGGCTCCCTGCTCCGTGGGGAGCCTGCTTCTCCCTCTCCCACTGCCACTCCCCCTGCTTGTGCTCTCTCGCTCTGTCTCTCTCAAATAAATAAATAAAATCTTAAAAAAATAAAATAAAATCCTTAAAATCTTCCAGTGTCACACCTCTTCTCTTGTTCCACTGGATTTGGCAAATAGATGCCATATTATGATTTACCGAACTGTGCCTCAGCCCCACTGGCCTTCTCTCTGCTCCACCAAATGCCCTTCACACACTCTGTTCCTTATGCCTGGATGCTGTCCTCCATGCACCCCCACCGCCATCCTCTACCCAGCTAACCCACTGGTCCCTCGGTGACCAGCTCAAATATCACCTCTCCTGGGAAGCCTGGCCTGACCACCCTGCCCCACACTGAGTCATATCACCAGCTGAATGCTGAATACTCACTCACCACTACTTGAGCTTTAACTTGCAAAGTTCTTATCAGAGTTTCAAACTATTTACTCTGCGTGATTATTTATTCAATGTCAGGCTCCCACTGTAGATGCGTCTGAGTTTATCACCAATAAATATTGGATGAACCCGTGAAGAAACTACAAATAAACAATATTTTCATTCACTTGTTCAACAGTGATTTCCTGCGTGCCTAGGTAACGTACCAGGCCCCATGCTCGACGCTTGAGACAGCCGTAACAGGACAGTTGAGGACACTGCACTCTTGTCATTGAGATTCTAGAGGGAGAAAGCAGACCATAGAGACAAAAACAAAATGGTGCATGTTGTGAAGGCAGTAAAAGGGGCAATGTATTGAGCAACCTCAGCACCACTGACATTTGGGGCCAGATAATTCCCTGTTGTAGGTGACTGTCCTGTGCATTATAGGATATTTAGCAGCATCGTTGACTTCCATTGATGAGATGCCAGTAGAACGCTCTTCTGAGCCCTGTGTGACCATCCAAAATGGCTCCAGACATTGCCAAATGTCCGAGAGAGGGGAGGGGAAAAATAGGTCCCTGTTAAGAGCCACTAATTTCAAGTGTGACCAGTCAACATCATTGTGGATGTTTTGCTCTAGTAGCCTTCAAGTAAACGGTTGGGTGCAAGGAACAAGTGGATGGATGGTTGGACTTAACCAGGGTTGGGATTTTGCTGAAGAGAGAAAGAATATTAAATATTTGCATGAGAGTGTTTTATGTGTTGGATGGCAGATGTAAATTGTGTAAGAAGGGTTGGTGGAGGGGTGCCTGGGGGGCTCAGTCGTTAAACATCTGCCTTTTGCTCGGGTCATGGTCCCAGGGTCCTGGGATCGAGCCCCGCATCAGGCTCCCTGCTCGGCGGGAGGCCTGCTTCTCCCTCTCCCACTCCCCCTGCTTGTGTTCCCTCTCTCACTGTGGCTCTCTCTGTCAAATAAATAAATAAAATATTTTTTTAAAAAAGAAGAAGGGTTGGTGGAGGGGTGCCTGGGGGCTCAGTTGGTTGAGCATCTGTCTCTGGCTCAGGTCATGATCCTGGGGTCCTGGGATTGAGTCCCGCGTTGGGCTCCCTGCTCAGCGGGGAGCCTGCTTCTCCCTCTCCCTCCGCCTCTCCCTGTGCTTCTGCTCTCTTTCTCTCTCTCTCTCTCAATCTCTGTCAAATAACTGAATTAAATCTTAAAAAACGGGGGGGTTGGTGGGTAGTGAGAAATGGAGAGGATCGACGGTTTAGAGGTCCCCATGAAGCGAAGGGAGCGAGATCCATGAGACAATGAGCTGGCAGGCTGGGAGGTGACTGTCAGACGTAGGAGGCTTGAGTTCAGTCAATTGGAGGAGGCTGTTTTTGGAGATGATAAAGCCTAGCGTAGGGGCCTGAGGATGGGCTGAAGAGAAAGATCAGCAGAGATGACAGTGAGAGTTGAGAAGAGACAGCCAGGTGGAGCCTGACGATGTTGAAGTCGACAACAGTGATGATGGGCAGAGGACATGGGGAAGGTGATGACCTGGGCGGTAACATTATCAGTGAATGTGGGCGAGAGGCCAAGCGGCAAGACCCTAGCAACAGTTAGAGGTGGTGGGTGATGCACTTCCAGGCACGAACCTCAAAGGAGCAGAGGATTTTGAAGGAGGAAGGAAGAATCATGGTCCAGACCGGGAGGCGGGGGGGACACAATACCCCCAGCTCCGGACCCTGAAGCATGTGAAATAAGACCAAAAATCAGCTTCTATTTTTTTAAAATTTTTTATTGTTATGTTAATCACCATACATTACATCATTAGTTTTTGATGTAGTGTTCCATGATTCACTGTTTGTGCATAACACCCAGTGCTCCATGCAGAACGTGCCCTCTTTAATACCCATCACCAGGCTAACCCATCCCCCCACCCCCCTCCCCTCTAGAACCCTCAGTTTGTTTCTCAGAGTCCATCGTCTCTCATGGTTCGTCTCCCCCTCCGATTTCCCCCCTTCATTCTTCCCCTCCTGCTATCTTCTTCTTCTTTTTTTTCTTAACATATATTGCATTATTTGTTTCAGAGGTACAGATCTGTGATTCAACAGTCTTGCACAATTCACAGCACTCA